GACTTGATCAAATTGCGCGGACTTGAAATCTAGTCTAGTAGTCTAGGACCTGTATATGAGTTTGTATGCGATTCATTTAGGACAGGTGGTAATCTCAACTGTTTCAGGGTAAAATGACCATGGCGGTCAACATGGCATATGTGCGAAAACCTGAATCCGGGACGAAAGTCCTGAAAATGACCCCGCCCTGAAACGGCAGTGCCGACATAGCTCTAACTTCCGAAAAGGAAAAGCGATAGCCTTTCTGAGGTGCTTAGAGTGTTTAGAAGGATTGCTTTTAGGGGTGGTGATTGCAAGGAAAAATTTGTCGAAGTATAATATTTTAGCAGAAAATGACTATGCACCACCCCAGGTAAATTGCTGATTATGCACAAAATAACTAATATGCCTGGCAGAAATTAAATATTCTTATTTCCTAAAAAAAAATTATCATGGGGTGAAAAACTATGCTTAATTTAATATAAATATTGTTGATTTAATAAGGATTGTCACTTTAAATATAATACATTTTATTTCACTTATCCCCACGAAAACACGATTTCAGCCATATTTTGCCGTCTTGTTTGCTTTCTATCGCCGAATCTCGCAAATACCATCCAGTTATTGTACTTTTACATAATCATAAATGGCTGAAGAAGATTTCAAAGAAGGTTTTATCCACTTTTGTAACAGTGCAGTGTATTTTACCTTCGGTATTGTGTCCTTCAATATTCCGCCAAATTGCCGCCATTTTAATGACTCGCCGCTTCTCTGTCTGATAAATGCAACTTCTTCGTTTCCATATGTATTTAGATTACAGTATCCAAGAGTACTTCATTGTAGAATAGTCCCAATCCAAAAATTGGCAACATTTGTCCCATTAGGAAGGAAAAATCCTCCCGTATACAATTTAGGTTCAAAATAAAAAACAAATCATTTGAAAGTCACGCGCAATCTTCGCGAAAACTTCTCGTGGACACGTAACAGGGGGGGGGGGTTGAATATTTTCACGAATATGTTCGCCACCACAGAAACATAACTAAATATATTGTATTTAATGTATTTTTATGATTTATGACAAAACTACGCAAATATTTATTGCTTTTATTATAAATCATAAAAATACAATAAATACAATATGTTTAGTTATGTTTCTGTGGTTGCGAACTTATTCGTGAAAATATTCAACCTCCCCCCTGTCATGTGTCCACGAAAAATGAATTGTTTTTTATTTTGAACCTAAATTGTATACGGGAGGATTTTTCCTTCCTAATGGGACAAATGTTGCCAATTTTTGGATTGGGACTATTCTACAATGAAGTACTCTTGGATACTGTAATCTAAATACATATGGAAACGAAGAAGTTGCATTTATCAGACAGAGAAGCGGCGAGTCATTAAAATGACGGCAATTTGGCGGAATATCGAAGGACACAATATCGAAGGTAAAATACACTGCATTGTTACAAAAGTGGATGAAACCTTCTTTGAAAACTTCTTCAGCCATTTATGATTATGTAAAAGTACAATAACTGGATGATATTTGCGAGATTCGGCGATAAAAAGCAAACAAGACGGCAAAATATGGCTGAAATCGTGTTTTCGTGGGGATAAGTGAAATAAAATGTATTATATTTAAAGAAAACAATGACATCCTTATGAAATCAACAATAATCATATTATATTAAGCATAGTTTTTCACCCCATGATAATTTTTTTTAGGAAATAAGAATATTTAATTTCTGCCAGGCATATTAGTTATTTTGTGCATAATCAGCAATTTACCTGGGGTGGTGCATAGTCACTTTCTGGTAAAATATTTTACTTCGACAAATTTTTCCTTCCAATGACCACCCCTAAAAGTAACCCTTCTAAACATTATAAGCACTTCAGAAAGGCTATCGCTTTTCCTTTTCGGAAGTTAGAGCTATGTCGACACTTTCGTCCCGGATTCAGGTTTTCGCACATACAGTATGCCATGTTGACCGCCATGGTCATTTTACTAGAAAACAGTTGAGATTACCTGTCCTAAATGAATCGCATACAAACTCATATACAGGTCCTGGACTATAGCCCCCATTGTTGGATTTGAAATATTACGTCAAATATTCATTGTCTGAGAGTGACGTGACGCAAGGACTTCTAAGGGTCATAGTGGAACGGCAGTAAGATCTCGCTCCAACGACACAAATTTCTGGCCATAAGAGTTAGGGGGGATGGTCTACATTAATCACCCATTTTCTCAGTGGAACTTGTATATTCCATAGTAACTTAATCATTCCTAAGGTACAACCCAAAGACTGACCGTCGATTGTCTCAGGGACAAGTGAATGCAGGATTTCTTATGAAGGCAACCCCTGTATTATCTCACTCATATAATATATTATAGTGTTATCATCCCTATCGTTCTTATTTACTTAAGCGAGACTTTTTTTATTCATTGGTTTACGGATCCGCCGACCGTAAATATTCAAATTAAAAATAAAAAAAATTTAGGTTTCAAACTTCAAAAATGTGTACAATTTTAGTTGATTTTAATTAATTTGAGGTTCTGACATGAAGTACACTTCAAGTAAATTTCCTCTGTAAATACTGCTGGCTCATGTTATCGTTGTGACAATCAATATGGAGATTAGCCACGTTTTTATTTGCGTTTTTACCTCGGGTCGGTACGACACCGAGGTCTTAAATTCGGCTCCTATTTTTTTTTTCCATTTGTGTCGAGCCGCGCGCGTAGTCGAAGATCGAAGAGCCTGCGGAGGAGACGACAACTTCCGGTAAATAAGTGTACTTCCGGCAAGTATCGGCCAAAGCGAAACGGAACCCGAAGCTGTCCTTGCACAAAATCCGTCAGAATTGTTGATTTAAAACCAGAAGATGTGATAATTTTGACATACATGTTTAGCTGGACAAAGTCTCGAGTATATGTTGATATAATGTACAATACATCGTATGCATAGCATGGAAATACCGCGGCCAAGTTTCACTTGTTTGATACTGCTAAGCATTTTATGTATGGTTCTTACTGTATTAAACTGGTAGACAGCAATTTTGCCAATTGTCCACTTATCACATTCTTCGACTGTAGTACAACTATTACTAATGAAGGATCAGTTATATGCACCAAATTATATTTTCGGTACTTTGATATATTTTATAAATATCTGAAGTGACTGTCATTCTGCTATGTGCAATCAACAAAGCTAGCTATGTATATCATTCACTCGTCCACAAAATATCCCAAATAATGAATAAATAGAGTTAAATAATTGCGTCAGTAAATTCTCTAAATTGTTCCTGTATTTAACTATTTATTAGATAATTATTGAGGCCAACGGCATTATTGGATATATTGCAGCTACCTGAGGCCGGAGGCCGAACGCCGAAGCTGGCTGCAATATATCCAATAATGCCAGTTGGCCGAAGTAATTATATCTATTATAATTACTGAGCCTAATCAAAAGTAATTATTTTCGCCTGGAAGACTACTGTACGTTGCTGCTTGTCGGGACCGTATGACAATGAACCTATCCAACGTTACACTAGACATATGTGAGGACATGCATATAGACATAACTATAGGCACTGCAGTGCATCGTGATGGAACAGATTTCAGTTTAATAAATCGCCCTAAATTAAAATCTCCACAAGCGGAACTAGCGGAGGTCAATTACAGTGTTCTAGTTTACATATATTATCATTAATGATAAGGTTAATTCAAAGAGCGTATTAAACTGGATAAACACGGGAATATAACTTATGGTGTGTTCCGCACATGCGTATATCTAGGATAAAATCCCACAAGCGCAAACGAAACTCTTTCTCTATAAAATTGAACTGAAAGGACTCAAGGAGACTGTTTTTGGCAGTGCTTCAGGCACCCGATGATACCGCATGAGTGGCCTTTAGCACTGTCACCTTCTCATCTTGAGATGTTCACGTTATCGCGTGTACATGTCAGCGTGACGAAGATGCATTATTGCTAATAATTCTGTGTGCATATGCTGGCATTATTTTTAATAATGCTGTATAAACATTTACCCATGGGCAATTATTATCAATAAAATGTTAAAACGGAGCTTTGATTAACTGATTCACCATTTATACTAGTGAACTATTAAACTATCGTGATTTACACTATTTTTGCATATTTACCAGACGATGCCTTATCCACCGACCCTAGTAGGGCTGCTAAGACACCAAATTTAGGCAAATCGTTCAAATTGTGATCACATTCTGAAACTTGGCACAGATACTCATTAAGATATGCGGAATATGGAATGGAAGGACTGCCCAAAATTTGAGCAGGGGAAAGTGCCTATTTCGGCCTTCAAAATGGCCGACATTCCGTATGCGCCTTGAGGAAAATTATCTCATTTAGTCATCACATCTGTGAACAAATGGACACGCTTAGCAAAAATACACGCAAGAGAAGGCTTTCAACAATATTGTATGTTGCACTGTCATGAAATTAAGGATATTTCAGAAAAACAGTAGTGCGCATGCGCAGTCACATTACCCTAAAATTTGATGTTTTACCGCTTTTCCTGAGTATATTGTATCCAGAATATATAATATAAAGAGTAAAATGTCATATAACGCGTCATAAAGCGTCATAAAAGACTCCTTCGGCTTGTGTGGTCTTTTTGGTAAAAAATAAATTACGGTAACGCTCACAAATGTACGGGGACTTTGCCCACAAATATAAAGGAATTGCTATGTTTCAAAAGTAGGAGCTATATCCTCATTTAAAGACCAAATATTAACGACGCGAAATTTATATTCTTTATGTCTGTCAGTGAGGTCCGCAATGTTAATTTTTCACTCAGCATGGTTGTTTTTGGCATTATCTAACATTTCGCTTAGTGACATCTACACAGCTCTGTATACTTCAACAAACTCTTTGCATTTCATCTACCAACCCTACATTTGGTGCACCACTACACCTGACAACAAATCAGCGCTTCGGTCATTGGGAAACGTCGGGCATGCGGCATTGCGGCTCCAAACTTCGCCATCCTTCATTCATCCCCAATATGTGGGTTCCAATATGTGGGTTCCGCTACTCTTGCGGCTTCATAAACAATTGTATCACTTTCGTGCTTGTAACGCAGATCGTTTTTACGTGTTCGTCCAATGCACCAGTTGTTGGCAGTTGGGAATATAATATTGTCAATGGTCTTTCCCCGGCTTATGAAAAAGTATCGCCTTGCATCGTTGACCTTGTCGCCATCAAATGTGCTGCAATAAAGAGCTGCAACAAATTGTTTCAAAAGATCACTGTCTGCTTTACATATATTATCTTCCGACGTTGCTCCTTTTGCCTTTACCTTTCAACGATGATGTGGTATCAGCCACTTAATGCGTAGAAAAACAGGAACGCGGTTAAGCGATGGAGGTTTGAGGTCCTAAGGATGCTGCAATTTTGCGGATTGGAACGTTCCTTACTCCAAACTCAAGCTATAGTTTTTTGAGGCTGTGGATCCTGTGGAAAGCTCCGAGTGCAAAACAACAATAACAACGTCACAGTCTACAGTCTTGACCAAAACGTGTGGACAGAGTTCAGCGACATGTTGGACATGGAGACATATACGTTTATCGGCTTCTTCGATGTTGCATGGCATCAACAATCCAAGATCTACATCCTGATTCGCCACAACTCTGTTATCTAGAGACCCCAGGAATAGTCCACGTGTATCAATGCTTTCAACCAGTAAAAATAGTTCCGTTTTGTTTTCACCTTATTCTCAAATGTCATCCTACCGAAAATAAAATATCATCTAAGGTCAGCTAATCAACTTGGTTTTTCGATAGGTACTTTAAGGGCAGTTTAAAGTCTGGTACACGGTCAAACCGTGGTTCTGGTGTTAGGAGGCTCGTGAAAGCAACGGGAGTATGGCAAACAATTAGTCAACGATTCTTAGATGCGACGAAAACAAAACGGAACTGTTTCCCTTCTTCGTTAAAGTACTGATTGAAAGCATTGATACACGTGTATGGGGTCTCTAGACGGCAGGGTAGTGGCGAATCAGGATGTAGATCTTGAAGTATTGATGCCGCAGATAAACGTATGTTTGTCCATGCACAACGTGCTGCTAAACTTTCTCCACGCGTTTTGGTCAAGACTGTAGACAGTGATGTTGTTGTTGTTGCACTCAAAGCTTTCCACAAGATCCACGGCCTCCAAGAACTGTGGCTCAAGTTTGGAGTGGGAAGCATTTGAAGTACTTTCCAATCCACGTAATTACCACATCACTAGGACCTCAAGCCTCTTTGTGATACCACATCAGCGTTCAAAGGTAAAGGCAAGAAATCATTAAGCGAAACATGGAAACAAATACCCAGCTTGACTCCAGTGTTTGAACGAGTAGCAACGTCCGAAGGTAAGATATGTGAAGCAGACAGTGATCTTTTGGAACAGTTTGTTGCAGCTTTTTATTGCAGCACATTTGACGGCGAAGAGATCAACGATACAAGGCGATACCTTTTCGGGTATCAAGGGAAAAATAATTGACAAGCAAGGGAAAAATAATTGACAACATACCCCCAGCAACTGCAGTGGCATAGCCAGAACGATAATTGGGGGGGGGGGGCATATTCATATATTCGTGTTTACATACCATAAAAACAGTTGATTTCAAAAAAAATTAATAAAGCAGAACACGAATATATGAATATGCCCCCCCCCGATTATCGTTCTGGCTACGCCACTGAACAACTGCTGCATTGAACGAACACGTAAAACGATCTGCGTTACAAGCACGAAAGTGGTACAATTGTCCAGAAGCTGCAAGAGTAGAGCTGAAACCCACACACTGGGTTCCCGCCAGTCGATGCCCGACGTATCCTAAGTGACTAGTGAAGAGCTGATTTGTTCTGTGGTTGGTAGATGTAAATGCAAAGAGAGTGTATGGAGCTGTGTGTTTGTCAAGCGAAATATTAGATAATGCCAAAACACCCGTGCTTGGTTAAAAAGTAACGTATGTGGACCTCGCAGACAGACGTAAAGAATTTCAATTTCGCATCGTTCACATTTGAACTTCAATTCCCTTATAATTGTGGGCAAAGTCCCCATACGTTTGTGAGCGTTGCCGTGATTTATTTTTCACCAAAAAGAACACACAAGGCGAAGGTGTGTTTTTGATAGCAAGAGCTACCGTAACATTTCAATATTTCAAATGTTATCACAGTTAAGGTATGTGTAAGTTGCTAAAATATTATCTTTGTTGCTGCCAAAACAAACAGCATGCATTAACAGATAGCAAAATATATCCAGGAAAAGCAATAAAACATTCGAATTTCAGGGAGATGTGACTGCGCATGCGCACTACTGTTTTTCTGAAATATCCTTAATTTCATGACAGTGCAACATATAATATTGTGGAAAAACTTTTTTAAGCCTTCTCTTGCATGCATGTGTACTAGGCTTGTTCATTTGTTCACAGATGTGATGATTAAGTGAGATAATTTTCCTCAAGGTGCATACAGAATGTCGGCCATTTTGAAGGCCGAAATAGGCACTTTCCCCTGCTCAAATTTTGGGCAGTCCTTCCATTCCATATTCCCCATATCCTAATGAGTATCTGTGCCAAGTTTCAGAATGTGATCACAATTTGAACGATTTTTTGTCTTAGCAGCCCTACTACCCGAGGTTAACGCCGAGTCGGCGTCTTGTTTCTTTTTTTAAATTGACGTTAAAACATTTTATACAGATTATTAATTTTGGTTCTCATTTATACTCAGTTTGTTTTTTTTTAATTTTTTTCCGACCTACCGACCTCTTATTTTTTAAAGTCAAATCCGTAAACCAATAAATAAAAAAATCTCGCCTTACTCATTCAATACATCAATGTCAAGATCTTTAATGTTGGAAATATGAGCCAAAGCACCAATTTCATTATCCTGCATACTTGTCAGATTTAACATATGAATAGCTTCACTTGCATCATGAAGATAATATATAACATTACGACGACCATCATATGTAAACCGTCGAATATGGTCTTCATCTGTCGCCAAGGTTGTTATATTTGAGCCATCCAAAGTTACTCTGGAAAAAGTTGTGCCTGATGCATACATTAATATTTGACGATTATGTTTGTCGAAGACCAGTTGAGCATCAGGAGATCTCAAGAAAAAGTTTGATGAAAGATCACCGGCCTTGGTGTTGTAAGTGTCGATTGTAGAACTGGTAGCATAATAGAGAATTGGTACTTGACAAACATCTGAAGAAAAAGAAAACAATTTTGCATTAAAGTACATGAGTCTTGGTAGATGGAATTTCAAATGCAAATTTATATACATTTTTAGATCTAACCAGGGTACTCTCAGTCAGGAATCGAACTGTGGTTATGCCACTCCAGCGCAGTGCTCTAACCAAATTGATGATATAATTGAGCGATGGCAGCACAAGGTATATTGGGCAAATATCTAGATTTTGGAATTACATTTGATGGAACTAATGGTGTAGATTCCTATAATAAACCATCTACTATTTGTTCTATCGAAACAGATACACAAAATGTCAATTTTGCATAAATGCACAAACCCATCCAAGAAATAATTATGCTTCCATCCTCGTCCGTGGCGGACATATTATATGGATTAAAAAAAAACGATATCAGAAGCACTTCAAACATGGCACTGTGGGTACCAAATCATAAACTGTCAATCACTAGATGTGGACCTAAGGTGGCTCGATACAGTTTTCAAAAATTTAGGTGTTTAACACTTTGACATGTTCAGACTACGCATTTTTAGGATTTATTCAGCAGATATTGGGTTTTTTATTTATTTTGACAACTCTACTTTCAAATTATATTAGTTTTAGTAACAGAAAGTTCGTTTCTATGACGACATACGTGTACGAAATTCACTCCAAAATGACCTATCGTCTGGTAAAGTTGGAAAAAAAGCACGGTGACCACCAATTTTTTT